ACCCTAACCCTAACCCTAACCCTCTTTTCCGTCGCCATCTCTGCCCTCTTGATTAAAGAAGGTCTCGTCTTGATCGTCGTTGAGAGCTTCTGCGTAACAATTATCGCAGTTTGTGATTGGCGTGGTCGTCTCTTGGCTACTAATTCTGTTGCATGTTAAGCGGGGTGCCGTTGTGTTGTTGTAAATACTTGATGCCTTAAGTTCTTATGGTAGATCTCGGGTGGGATTCAATCTTTTCAGGTGGTTTTTGGGCTGATCTAAAAAAATGCAAAGGTACAGTATAAAAAAGTTGAAAGCAAAGCTGAGATTTCATCTATAATGGAAGATTTCAAATAAGAAGAAAAAGGGAAGAGAATTAAATACAAGCTTGCAAATTCAAATAAATACTCTGGTCACATCAGCGACAGCGGGACCCACATGTGGGTTGCCAGCTGCCAGCGCTGTCACACCAGGCAACCAAGCTATACTTACCTTTGGGAACTCTATTCCTCCAACGGCAAAACTTACCCGGAATCCCCTCAGCACCCTTAGCGTCTTCAGCGTATTTCAGCCAATGACACAACTGCCGCCTGCACTGCCTCTACGCTAGGCCGCGCTAGTCACACTAGAAAGAAAGATCCACATGTAAGCACAATAGTTGTCACACGGACATTGGCTACACTCCTGTGTTTGAAGTTCAATAGAGCTTCAATGCTTGACATCAATCCAACCTCGCCATACAATGCTGGCCTTGCCTCACCTAGACTATTCGGCTAACATGCACAGCTTACCCAAACCCTTGTAACGTCACTAGGCTAAGCGAGCTAACCCCGGAACTGCTGACGGCGCTAAACATTATCACAAAGCCACCTCATCATCACAGGAGCAATCACGCCAACCAAGCAGAAGTAGAACGCTTGGGCAAAAGCTGGCGCCGAAAGAAAGAAGAGGAATGGATGAAGGCATTTAGCAAGATCCACATATATACCGGTTACTAGATAAACACCTTGAAGCCTCAGGCGACAAGAACTGGTACGTACCCCAGTACGTACTATTTCCCTTTGGTGTAAGAAGGCTTTGAAGCCCAGCTTTCCCCTAAAGGTTGAGAGAATCAACAAGGCCTTCGAGACCAAAGTAGTTTATCAGCAGAATTGAACTACTGTTCCAAGCCCAGAACACTGCCCTTATCACAATAGTGTACACTAGATGGATGCTTTGTGGCCTTGCGGCCAGATTAGGCTGATAGGAAGATGTACGTACCTATCAAAAGAAAAGAAGACTTTGGCGTGAGAAGGGTCCGTTTCTATAGTCAACATTCTTGCGAGGAGCTGCCTGAAAGTGCAACTTGTGGCCCCCAACTCAGACCTGGCCATTTGGCACCTTATTCATCGCCAGCTTACATTGATCGAGGCTGGCACAAATTTTACAGGTTATTGATAAACTTGGTAAACCTGTGGGTAAGTTTGCGTTACAGTCTGACAGCTTCATATCTCGTCTCAAAAGTCTCACGGAGAGGTGGTGTTGTTGCAGGACCATGAGGGTAAATCATGTGTCGACGTCGTTGTTTACGTTCCTCCTGAAGCGTCCTCCGTATCGTGGGCAAGAACTCCAGCCATTGCATTGTCTGAAACCAGGGCCAAAGAACCATTATTTTGACATGTCGAGGTAAGAATACAATGATGTCGTAAGGATTATGTCCTAGCATTCTCGGCGGCGTGTCCCGCTGATTGAGTTGTAGGCGACGGCACCATTAGTCAGGAGTCGGTTGGCAGGTCTTTTGCCAGGCACTTTTGAGGCGCTACAGTGATGCCTGTTGTCCAGTAAATGCCGGGGCACTCGTTCCTGGAAAGGAACGCAACGGCTTCATCGCGAACGAGCGATAAGGGATCGACTTGTTGACGCGAAGAATAAAAAAACTATAAAGCTTGTAACCGTAGCAGAGAAGGCCTGCTGGAGATGATTGATGACGGAGGGAATCTTCCATTCGGGGAGTTGACATTTACGACGGGAAGGAGCTCGCGTCACAATGACCCGACACCTCAGGTGGGGTTCGGTTGCCTGCCGGGGACTTGCCGGATGTTTCAGTGGGCAAATTGAACTTCTTGCCCGCATTCTCATCTTTCGCTTCCCGTCTTGGTCTTTTCCACATTACGGCGAAACTCGACATGCCGATACACATGGCCATGAAAAAAGGCCTCGTGACCTCACGCCCTCGGAGGCACCGAGTACGACCATTCGAAGCAACTTGCGACCCCCAAGTATCCAAGATCCTCGTCGAAGCCGCCACATAGGTACACGGTCGAACAACACCAAGAACACTAGCTCGGTCTGCTAGGGCTTACACAGCGACGACTACGATGCCCATATTGCCTACAATCCCTCTTCAACGGTCGAGGCCGAGGCCGTGCACATAGGTAGACTTCCCTCTGTTTGGGTAAGATATCCGAATGCTTTGTCCTCGATACAACCCTCCATCTCTGTTTATCCGCCCGTCCACTCTTCCGCAATCGCTTCCACTGCCCCTGCCAAGCTTCCATCGTAATCTCGCCTCGCCCCGCACTCTATGCTCGCCCACGTTTTCCCCCGGATTGCAGAATCCCTAGATGGATATCTTGTCGTCCCTTCTCTAGCTGACCTTGTGGAAAACAGCGCCGTAGGACCGATGCCATGAAATCGAAAGACGAGAGCAAGATGTGAACCGACACATCAGGATCAGAACGACATGGCGTACGACAAGCCTCTTCGATATGAAAGCGAGCCATGACGGGCATTTGCAAATCTCCATTCTCTCGACAAGATCTCCGATCCCAGTCTGCACCCCTGCGGCACCGCTCGTTAGTCGCACCACATGGACGTTCCAGCCAAAACATCATGAACAACGACACAATAGCCGGCTTCCTACACTGCGCTAGGCCCTATGTCCCGCCACTTTTACAGCACCTGCGCAACCGATATTGGATATCTGAGCGGTGATAATTTGCTTGGCCATCATGTTAGTCTTCAAGTAGCGGCTCAGATGGTTACCTTTTGGCCCATGTCCAAAGCAACGCACTGCCCTACGTGGCTGGCATCCTCAACTGTTCGCTTGCGGCTATTGCACTAGCTTCTTGCCAATGTTTAGCGATCCAGTCAACGTTCCAAGCAGTCACCCTTGGCTTTTCCCGGCTTTCCGTCGCCGAAACCGTGGGGCTAGAAACCAGCTGGTGATAATAACGTCGTTGACGCCCTCGAACATGTTGTGTCTGGCCATCTCCTCAGCCCTCTGTACCCCGACAGTCCAGGAGCATCATGGTCATTCTTCGACATCTTACAGCCCATCTGGCGGCAGGCTTGGCTGTCACCGGAGCCGTACTGGCAAGCCCATTCAGCCACGTTGCCCGTGACGCCGACATCGCGACCGGCTTCGTTTCCGAGCTCACACAAAACGTCACCACTATTCACCAAGAGCAGCAGGAAACAGAGAAGCGCGGTCTCGTTTGCAGTCAGTCCTCGTCTCTGACGGTCGATCTAGGCTATGTCAAGTACCAAGGCCAACAGAACGCGGGTACCGGCGTCAACGTTTGGAAAGGGTAAGAATGGACACTTGTGTGATCTGTAATCAGACCTTTTACTGACAGTGCATGATCAGAATTCGGTATGCAACTGCTGCAAGATGGCAACCGCCGCGTCTCCCACCTCTCCAACCCAATGGCACGGTTATCCAAGCGACAGAACAGAGTGTCCAGTGCCCGGGTGTTTACCCATCTGTCGGTGGTCTACCTCCCATTCCAGGTGATGAGGACTGCCTCTTCCTCAACGTCTATGCCCCTTCCAAGGCGCAAAACCTCCCTGTCCTTGTTTGGATTCACGGTGGCGGATACGGTTTGGGAAACAGCGTCCAGGACATGACCGAGATCATCAACGCGAACAACAAGGGCTTCATTGTCGTCTCCATCCAGTACCGCCTTGGCGCCTTTGGCTTCCTCGCCTCGCAAGAAGTCAAGAACAAGGGTGTCGTCAATGCTGGTATCCTCGACCAGGCCTTTGCTCTCGCATGGGTCAAGCTGTTCATCTGCAAGTTTGGTGGTAACCCCCTAGCAGTCACCATCTCGGGCGAATCCGCCGGCGCCGGCTCTGTCATGTATCACAACCTTGCCGTCAACGGTGCTCTGGGACCCCTGCTGTTTGACAAGTCCATCGCCAATTCGCCTTACCTCCCCTTCCAGTACAACTACAACGATGCCATCCCTACCTCGAGGTACTATGCCTTCTCTCAGGCTGCCGGCTGCCCCAGCAGTGGGAACGTGTTCGCCTGCCTCCAGAGCAAGGACTCAGCCACGCTGCAACAAGCCAACGCCGTTGTCACCAACCAAGCACCCTATGGCTACTGGGCTTTCTGGCCCGTCACCGACCACGCTTACATCATGAGTCTCGCCAGCCAGCAGCTTGCCGCCAAGCAAGTTAGCGGCCAGAAGCTTCTTGTCGGCTTCAACGCCAATGAAGGTCCTCTGTTTGTCCAGAACAACATCGACACCGAGTCACAGCTTGTCGACTGGCTCAAGATTGAGTTCCCTAACCTCTCCGCGACCCAGATCAACTCCATCCTCGCTGCCAACCCCAACAGCAGCCCCACCAACCGCGCAGGCCCCTTCTTCGAAACCAACGGCCTTTCCGGCCCCAACGCGCTTAACATGTCCGGAGGTGCCAACGGCCAACAACAGCGCGGCTACAATATCTACGCCGAAGCCACCTTTGTCTGCCCAGCCTATTGGTTTGCCTCTGCATTTACCGGTTCCAGCACCAAGAAGGCATACGTATATCAGTACTCGGTCCCTTTTGCCACCCACGGCACCGACATGGCCGGCTACTTTGGTCCCCAAACTGAGAACCAGTCTAACGATTTTGTGCTTGCCTTCCGCCGCATCTGGGGCAACTTTGTTATGACCGGTAACCCGTCTATCGCCAGCCAGCTTGCCAATGGGCAGTCAACGGGGAATGCGAGCGTCCATCCTATCGCGACTTGGCCGGCTTGGGGTGAGAGTGCTCCCAAGTTGGTGAACCTGAATGAGACGGGTGGTGTGCAGTATCAAGAGCCGACGCAGTTCGGGTACAATGTGACGCAATCCAAGGGTCCTGGATTGAAGAATGCAATTGCCGTCGTGGACGCTAACACATGGGAGGGAGGAAGAGGTCAGAGGTGCGCCTTCTGGAAGCAATTGGCTCCCAGCATTCCCGCGTAGAAGGCTGTGTGGTGATATAACCTGGCAAGGGACGGTGGCTTGGAACGTTTGTCATCGACCTTTTGCCTCTCATTTTCATAGCGGCTCAATACAATGCTTTTCTCCATGCTCTATCCTATCCCTCGCCCTGCGTTTGCCCATGATGTTCCCATGTCGTGCCTATGCCTTGCACCCTAGTATGTCTGTCGCAAAGTCTTGCACAGTCGTCTCCGCACATCCGTAGCAGTTGCACAGCTGCCACGGCCATGAGTTAGTCAAGTTCACGGAGAGATGGTTGCCCAGCACTGACCTTTCTCTCAGCAACAGCTGAATCGTCAACATCCACGCATTTCAAGACAGTCGGGATGTCTCCCGCGGGGACATAGGCAGCGAAGCACGCGTTGGCAGTTATGACTTCGCGGCATTCGTCAGACCAGGGTTCGCAAGGTGGTTCTGCTCTTGGTGATAGCGCATGAGGTGATGAGGAGGTGGGCACTGCTGCGACGAGAATGGGAAACGCGAGGAAGAAAGCGTGGGGTATCATGATGTTGATCGATGATGTGATGCTTGATGATGACGAATGTTGTGCTAGTGGGCACTGATCATGCTCCGAAACGACCATCGCGAGGATGAGGACATGTTAGCTTATATGTCGCAAGCAGGGTGCCTGCCAAGACTATGGGGGCGGCAATCTGCCACAGGCTCGAAATCTCGAAACATGCAATGGTGTGGTGCTTAGGCAGAACGGGAATGTCAACTTGAAGCAATCTATTGCAATCTACTCTGACGACCATAATGTCCCATCCCAGGCCATTATGCCGGCCGGATATATGGGCAAATCTCGTTACCAGGTTCACACGTCTTTGAAGCAGCACAATGATGATGATCGTTGCATGACATTTCTCCTTTGCTATCTATCCGTCTACATCCCGTATCATCCTCCCACTCAGGCAACGATGTTGCCAGCCAGGAAGCTCTGGATGTAATCCTTCTTTCCAATGGGCACGCCCTTGCTCCTGAGAATCGCATACGCAGTCTGCACATGGAAGAAGAAGTTGGGGATGCTGTGTCCGAGGACAGATCCCTTGCCGGTGCTCTTGAGGGTCGTAGGACCGATGAGCCTGTTTGATGTCATCTTCACGTTAGCATGTCTTCATTACAAGCCTCCCGACTGGGGACACTCACAAATCGATGGGCTTCTCAGCAACACTATCAAGAACCTTGGCGTCCGCCTCCTCCACGAGCTTCTGCGCCCTGGCAATCCTCTCCCTCAAATCCGCGATGGTGGTCTCCTTGTCCTCCCACGGCTGGAACTCCTGTCCCTGGAGACGGGCAAGCGTGCGCTTGATGTTTGTGGTGGCGTTCTGGATCTGGAAGGTGAACGGCTTCATGTCATCAATGAGGCGGGCGTTGGGATACTCGGCGTCTGCGGAGAGGCTTTGGGAAGAGGCATATTGCTCGGCGACATCGAGGATGTGAGCGAGGGCGTTGAGACCCTTGGAGAAGGTTGAGAGGACGAGGTCGGAGAGTTGAATAGACATAGCGGTTGTAATGCTATGACTGTAACTCAAGTTGATGGCGATGTGACAGGTGGTTGACGGTGATCAGACCTGGAGAGCGGGTTGTTGGAACTTTAAGGAGAAAGGACGAGCGAGGTAATAGGAACACGGAGGATAGAGGGATGCGATGCGAGGTATATTACTTCCTTGTATCTTTCTTTCGCTCACTTTCCAAGTAACAGTTGACATCCGCTTTCGGATCAGATGCAGCCGCTGCTCGCATCTTGTTACAATTCCTGATTGCGTGCTTTTAATAGTGATGTGTGAAGAACCGTTACAAGCACAGGAGT